GTCTGAAGTGTGGCACTGATAAAAAGGGATACTCCAAACACCCAAAGCAATTTTGCTTACTGAAGTGCTCTATGTATGAAGTGTGTCCTCTTTTTCCATTTTACAAAAAGTGCTAATTTCAACAGAAAGGGTGCACTTTTATAAATGAACCTTGTTACATCCCTCTGGCTGTCAATCAGAGCACTTCTTACTGGGCTGCAATGGGAATCCTGTGATTTGACAGCAAGCAGTTTTATATATATTCCCAATTAAAAAAAGAATTAGGATACACATGTATATTTTCATTGGGGGTTTATCTGCTCAATTGTAAACATGAGATGCTGGATCCATCACTTCACCTCACTCTATGCTGCTTTCTCCAAGAAGCAAGAGCATTGCCCTTACCTCATTCTTAACACAAAATAAAAATAATTGTGTAAATAAATGTATGTCTTGGATATCTGTAAAAAAAATAAATAAAAAGAAGTCTATAGAGAGTAACTACCCTGCCCATGGTGGGATAAAACTCTGTCACAGATATATCCATGGCAGTACTCCGGGTAGATAACAAATTTTCAAGTTGTTTTGAACGCTTGACCTGATTAACTATTTTAAGTGTCCCTAGTAATGGTGGGAAAATGCTCTGTCTAAATAATTTGAGAAGGTCTCTTTCCTAGTAACTGCCTGGATATAAATTTATCAGTTCTCATCAATAACAAATCACAGGTTGCATCCTGAGATTAAAGGTAACATCCAGTGTAAGATATCACAGTTCATTTGTTTGATGGACAAAACTACAGAGGAGATGGATTTTTGGCTGTTTTTTTGGTTACTGCTCTAGGTCTAACATAGTCAATGCAATGCTCCATACACACATTACCACACAGGACATGCAGACATTAATCTAATAAGAATACATATTTATATGTGCAGTGTGTGAAAAAAAATTCTCATTGAACAAATTACAATACCTGGAGTGCACTGGTAATGGCCCTCCATTCAGTGTTAAAGGGACACTTCAGACCCCTAAAGCACTTTAGCTTGCTTAAGTGGCTTATTTGTGAAAAGGGTTTCTCATTTTACAAAAAGGGCAGATTTCAATAGAACTTGTCAAAATTATAAGTTAACCTTGTGAGTAAGACATTCAGTCGTGTTACTTCCTAGTTGTTTAGCGCAGTAGAGCTAAACTCAAAATCCAGGCAACTGCTAAGAGCAAGAGTCTTGCAAAAATACAGTTGCATTGCTAAGTTGTGATTGGACAGCCACAAAAACTTTTTCCTGGGGAAAAGGGGAGGTCTTGCAAAGACTGCAGACAAGAGATCGCTTTAATCATTTTGCATACTTGCAAGGTGATTCTCCCCCTCCACCCCCTGCTTTTAGTATTAGTAATAATTTTAATGTTTACAGTTTGCATTCTTATCCTTAACATCTAACACATTCCTTTACATAAACTGAACACACCCTCAATTATTTTGGGCTGCAATTTGTAAAAAAGTCCAACAGCTTTCCAGACATTATTACTGTCACTGATCTAAAACAGAACTGCCAGTAATTACACATACATTCTTTCCTATCGTGTCTGTTTTGCAAACACTGATACAATTCTGCTTTTTGTTACACTGTTGGAAAAATAAATAAATAAATAGCTGCAGCTAAACAAAATACACAACAGTGGACATGGTTATTGTGGCAGACTTTATGTGTATACTATGTTGACTTTTTTTTTAGTACTCTGTGAAGGGCTGCATCCAAAGAGTTTGTTGTAAAACTTTAGAATAAGTTGTGTAACATGATTGACACATAGTATACAGACTGACTGCTAACTGTGCCAAGCCTTGCAATACTCCTTTCAGAAATCACCCTGCAGTGGGTATGTGCCTGTCCCAAGCCCCAGCTGATTTAAGGATGCAGTGTGTACTCAGGAGAGGTTACATGGAGGGACATGGAGGTGCAGCAGCTATAGTAGTGGCAGGAAGTTTGGAATTGGTCTATGAAGGGCCCCACAACTCCCATAGCAAGCAGCACAATACAGAGACACTGCAGTAACCCGAGAGCGCTCTGCCAGCATGACAGCCCGGGGAGCTCACACTTACTCTGCCAAACCACATTTTTCAAGCCACTGTCCTGGGACGCCGCCATGGTCGAGACCAGCGCTCTGACGTCACCTGCCAAAGCCTGTCCGCTTGTCTCTGAGACCCGCCCCCTCCCCGTGGTCTCGATGGTGTTACGTCACTGGAGAGCTCTAAACAAAAGAGTCGGAGCGCTAGTGTAAACAGTGTGTGTGTGTGCGCTCTGCGGAGATTTCAGCCTGTTCTTATTATATATTTTTAATTATAAAAGATTATATGCATAACATTATCCTCTCCTCGTTTTTGTTTTTTTAGTTTTTAGTTCAAGGCACATTATTGTGTTTTACACCTTGGCATTCAGAGATATATAATATGTTTTTTTATTATTATTGTATTATTTATATAGCACCATCAGATTCCGTAGCGCTGTACAATGTTATTTTATAAATAATAGCCGTTTTTAATGTTTCATTGTACAATGAATCCATTTAATCATGTATGAGTGTGTCTCTTTCAGAGGTCCTGGGGTTGCCAGGTAACCTGTGTTTTGGTGGACGTGTACCATTTCTTCAACCTGGTGGATGACACATGGAAAGTTTATCCCTCTCTCTCTCTTTGGAGGTCTCCTTTACCATAGTTGTATCTATTTTGTTGGTAGATGCAATGTTGCACTTTACTGGCAATTATTGCAGATTGTATCTATCCTCCTAGAATACACACTACTGATAACAGTAGAAATACTTTCTGAAAGTGCATAAAAACATACCGGTAATGCTGCAGAATATATATAGTCATTAGATCTTGAGTATGACTCATTAGGACAGTCCCTCTTGTGTTATGGAGAGCACCTACGTCCCCGTGTCCTTACTTGCTGTCCTCCAGGGTTCAGGTCGTTCAGGTCTAGATCTTCTGAGGAATCTGTGAAGTCCTCGAGTCTGGCGGCCATCTTGGGCCGAGATTTCCTATATTCATGCCGGACCTTGGTTTGTCCGGCTTTTGTTTTTTGAGTTTTGCGGCCCATTGTGAGTGGGGACGTTATGGGTGCGTTTTCCGGCGTTAAAGTCAGTCCAATTCACTGTTGTATTGCTGGTGTGGCCGGAGCTTATCGATCGTGCGTCCGACCTGTTCAGTAGCTCGGCTCCACCCCCCACAGTTCTCTTGTTTTACCCAATACTACTGGTCTTGTCCACTATATTGGGGAATTTTACAAGGTTCCAGAGGGACATAATCACTGTATGCTGTAGTTAAATCCAGGACCAGTGGAGAATTAGAGAAGTGGCGACCAAGAGACACTAATAGACCCTGCAACCCGTGACACAGAACCTATGTGTGAAATTCTAATGCTTATTGGAAGCAGACATTTACATTTTTGGAACTTGACCAAAACGTGCAGTTGCTAAAGTTTTATCTTGCACTGTCCTGTCTTTCAGGCAATAATAAAAATAGTGTGCTGTTTTTTTTATTTATTTTTTAATAAAATTACTCTGCAGCAGTCCTCTGTATTCTATGATTAGATTATAATCCTATGACATTTACCCTCATTTGTTGAGTGTGTGCGAAGAGATGTGTATGAGTATTTTGTATCTAGTGTCAAGACATCACACGGTTTAGGTACCCCTCTAGTTTTCCTATGCTGCTAAATATAATTCCTGGGGTTATCACTGATGCCATTCAAATATCACAATGTCATCAGCATACAAATATAAACTACTACTATTTCATTGAAGTGGACTGCTTGTGCTTTGTTTGTAATCCCCGAATTAAATGCAAATATATCCTCCAGTGGAAGTCCGATTATATAGAAACATTTCATTTTACCCCAAAGAAACTTGGTCATTCCCAATTTTATAGATTCATTTTTTCTTTAAAGGAACACTCCTAGCAACATAACCACTACAAAGTGCTACAAGTGCACAGAACCCCCATCTCCGCCCATTGTAAATAGTCAAACCATTTTAGAAAAGTCTTACCTGGGGTCCATCAGGAGACCCTCTTCCTGCCTCTAGTACATCTGGGAGAGAGACACAAGCTGTCTGTCTGAGCTAAGACCAGCAATGCAGGGCTTAGCTCATTGCCTGAGAGTGATCACCTGAGTCGGAGCTTTCGACTTTCTGTTGAATGTAGTGGATGCAGGGGAGGGCGCCCGTCGGACCCTAGATAAGAAATCAATCCATTGTAAAAAGTTTAGCTATTGTAGAATAGGGGGGATCAGGGCACAACTGGTACCATAACCCCTACAGGGCACTGTAGTGGTTATGATACTTGGTTTGTTCCTTTATTGGCAGGTGTCTACAGTAGGAAAAAAATGCTAATAGGATTATTCATTAATGCCTGCATTGAGGTGAAAACAGAATTGCTAAAATAGCCAAGTTGTGATAATAAATTAATTCAAAAATTCATTTTTTTTAAATCAACTTTTTTTGCTCTGGTATTGAAATCTAGTCTTTTGCCCACTTTAGTTAATAAGCCCCTAAATTGGTATGTCTTGGGGAGACAGAGGGTGTGCCTGTGTGTGCTGGTTGATTGTGTGGTCGTTGAATAGTTTTGTCTGTTTTGTGTGTGTAGTGTCTGAGTGTGTTTTGCTTCCTCCTGCTTACCTTTCCGGTGGAGAGCATTCTGGTTGAGGGTGAGCAGGATCACTAGTTGTCAGTGGGGGAGCATTGTGGTCTGCACCAGTATTGGGTTTAGACTATTTTAAGAGCTCTCTTGCAGTCAAAAACTCTGTAAATGACACAGAGGATTACAAGTGCACTCTTAGAGTGGTCTGCATCTGATCCCTTGAGGTAGTGAGGGGCACAGGGTTGAACAGCGAAATCTGTTGATCTCCTTGCCAGCACAGTGATGGCCCACTCACAGCCTGAGCCAAAGCTCTAGGCCCAGACAGTGGTCCACTAGGAATCTGACTAGGCGAACAGGTTGGAAACTTTAATTTGTGTGCAAATGTTTTCTAAAATGGTGCACCGAAAGTTTTATTCTGAGGAAGAATTAGCAAGAATATTAGAACAGAGTGATTCTGAGTATGATTTTAGTAATGAAGATGATTATAACTCCAGTAATTCAGGTTCAAGTGACACTGAAGATAAAAATGTTGTGGATGAAAGTAAAAATATTGAGGATAAAGATGTACCTGCTGAAAATGTGACAAATAACATAAATAATTGGGAAAGGTACCTTACTAATGGTCCTAATTTCCCAAGACAACCTTTTATAGTTCCCAAACCAGGAATTAATATTCCAAATGGTATGTGTGAAAAGAAAATTAAATTTTTTTGGTCATTTTTTTACTAACCGACTACTGAATCAAATTGTCACCGAAATAAAGAGACATGAGATATAGAATATACAAAAATGTACTCCTCTGCCTCAATATTCCATTTGGAATACTTGGAAAGAGGTGAATTTGATTAAAATAAAAGCATTTCTGTGTGTTATAATGAAAATGGCTCTAAATTCAAAATTAGAATTCAAAGAGTTTTCAATCTCATGCCCTTCTTTACAGATATGTTTACTAGAAATAGATTCTTACAAATTTTCTGGATGCTCCATTTGTGCCCTCAACCACTGCAGCAGCCAATGATGGCTAGACCCAGGTAGAGTAAAATAAAAAATGTGGCAGACCGCATAAACAGAAATTCTGTGAACTATTTATTCCTCTTGTGAAAATAGAATAGATGAAAACACAGTTGGATTCAAGGGCAGAGTACAACGGAAATGTTACAATCCACAGAATCCCACCAAATGGGGACTTTGAGTTTATTGCTTGTGTGATAGTGAAACAGGTTACCTAGAAGTTTTGTTCTATATTTTGGAAAAACCACTACAGAGAGTTTAGTTCACACTGACTTCAGGGCTAGTGCAAGGCAGAAGTAAAGTTTGCCGCCCCCCCATGTGACATCACAATGCCCCACCCATATGATCTGCCATGTGAACTAACGCCAGTGCTGCAGTGCCGCCGTGTTTACATTAAAAGGCCTGCAGGGAAAGGCTATGGACACCAGAACCACTACATTAAGCTGAAGTGGTTCTGGGGACTAGAGATTAGTGCCACGAATAATATACTAGATTGCCTACTTACAACCAGATGAGGATGATGATGGGCTCTAGCTGCAGTCTGGCTCCACTGGTCTGGTGTAGAACAAGCTCGCTGGAGGCTGTTTGTAACTGTGGTCACAAAAATCAATGTTCATTTTTTAAGGCCCTTTACACAGCTCAAGGTCTGGGTCCCAGGGTCCACCTTCATGTTCCACCAATAAGTTTGTTCATAGGGGGTGGAGTAGGGGGATGTCCTGATATAAGTGTAAGGAATGCATTGTGTGAATCTGTGTTTGTATGTGTAAGGGCTGCAAGGTGTGTTTCTGTGTATGTACGGGATGCAGTGTGTGCGTCTGTAAGGAGTGCATTGAGTGTGTGTAAGGGGTGCATTGAGTGTGTGTAAGGGATGCATTATGTGTAAGGGTTGCATTGCTTGTGTGTGTGTCTGTGTGTGTAATGCATTGTGTGTTTTTCTGTGTGCAAGGGGTGCATTGTCTTTGTGTGTAAGGGGTGCATTGTGTGTGTGTGTGTGTGTGATGGATGTCAATCTCTTCTCCCCCCTCTCCCTCCCTTGTCACTCTCTTCTCCCCCCTTGTCCCTCTCTTCTCCCCTGCTTGTCCCTCTCTTCTCCCCCTCCCTTGTCACTCTCTTCTCCCCTGCTTGTCCCTCTCTTCTCCCCCCTCCCTTGTCACTCTCTTCTCCCCGTTGTCACTCTCTTCTCCCCTCCCCACTCTCATTCCCCCTCCCTCCCTGTCAATTCCCCCCCCCCACCCTGTCAATTTCTTTCCCCTCCCTTTCAATTTCCCCCGTTCCTGTCAATTCCACCCCCTTCCTGTCAATTCCACCTCCCTTCCCTGTCAATTTCACCACCCCTTCCCTGTCAATTCCACCCCTTTCTTGTCAATTCCCCTTCCCTACCATTGTTGCAGCTGAGCCCTCTATTGGTTCCCTCCTTTCAATTTATTCCCCCCTCCCTTTCAATTTATCCCCCACTCTCTGTCAATTTATCCCCCCTGTCACTTTATCCCCTGTCAATTTATCCCCCCTGTCAATTTATCCCCCCCTCCCTGTCAATTTATCCCCCACTCCCTTTTAATTTATTCCCCACCCCCTCTTTCAATTTATTCCCTACCCTCCATTTCAATGTATTCCCCCCCTTTCAATTTATTCCCCCACCCTCCCTTTCAATTTATTCCCCCCCTCCCTGTCAATTTATTCCCCCCCTTCCCTGTCAGTCCCCCCTTCCCTGTCAAATCCCCCTTTCCTGTCAATTCCCCCTTCCCTGTCAATTCCCCTTCCTTGTCAGATTCCCCTTCCTGTCAGTTCCTTCCCTGTCAATTTCCACCCCTTCCTGTCAATTCCACCTCCCCTTCCCTGTTAATGTCACCCCCCTTCCTGTTAATTCCACCCCTTTTCCTGTCAATTCCCCTCCCTTCCTACCATTGTTGTAGGCGTGGCGGAGCCCTCTATTGGTCAGCGGGTGCAGGTAGCTTTGTTTCCTGTACCCCGGCGGACTAACAGGAAGTGCACACTCAGTGTGCACTTCCTGTTAGTCCGGCCGGGTACAGGAGACAGATGCTCCCTGTACCCGCGGACCAATAGAGGGCTCAGCAATGCTACAGTGAGGGAGTGACAGGAGGGAGCGCCGAGCGCTGAGTGCTTCCCTCCTGTCAGCCCCTCTCCCCAGGCTGCGCCCGGTGCAAAGCTGCAGCCGCCTGAGGCTCTCTACAGAGAGCTTGGGCGGCTGCATCATGAGGAGGGCCGGCACTCCTGGTGGTGCCCCTTCCCAAGGGGCGCCCTAGGCGGCTGCCTAGTCCGCCTAACAGGTAGCGCCGGCCCTGACTTACTAGTAGAAATATCCTTCATTTGTGCAATGTTACTTTTAGTGTCTCAAGGAAAATTTTATCATGTGTTTACAGACCTATTGTACATAGGACCTCAATTTTGCGAAGAACTATTGCACCTTGGGATCTACACCACTGGCACTGTTATGACCGATCACAAAGGTTTTCCACAGTAAATGGAGAGCAAAACAATATTACGGCACAAGGTCATTGCATACAAAACATTTCGAATAATATTGATTGAGCAGCTCGATGGGCAAGTTCAAAATGTAAATTTCCGAAAACGGGAAAGGCAATCAACACAAGACACTGAAGACAGGTTAAATGGTAAACCCCACTTTGTGATGAAAGATTAAAATTGCACCGCGAACGGTTAAAGTAGTCTGCACTCGATTTTGGTGCAGTCTTCAACCATACCACCAGGTATTTTGCTCACCGCCCACAAGACTGAAGGAAATGCTTTCTACTGAACCACCAGGGAATGTTAAGCAAGAAGGGGACAAAACACACACTTAAAGACTACACACACAACATTCATCCACACTAAGACCTACACACAAACACACACAATACTCAACCAGCACACACAGGCACACTAATCCTGACACACACAGCACACAGCCACTACACACACAATACTCAGCTCCCACTACACACACAATACTCAGCCATCACACATGCAAAGCCCTCACAGAACAGAGCCCAGATCTAAGATGGGGCCCCAATTTGGCTTCTTTCCTAGAGCCCTGGACAACCTTAATCTGGCTCTGCAAGACATGCTACATATCTGTTAGATTAACAATACAAAGCTTTATTCAGTGATTTTTTTCTTTTAACAATGAAGGGGTGGTCTGATAACTTGAGTATACAGTATCTTAGAGCATACACCTGTATTACCTCCACCCTCATTCAATCAATAGACTGTAGGGAGGGATCCTAGACAGACCTGCATTTTCATATCATTTGTTACATGCAGTCTAGAAGGTGTGCAGAAATCTACAAGGCAGAAGATGGGAATAAGAATTCCAAATTATCATTTTGTGCTCACAATCCTGCTTTATACTTTGCCGGCCGTAAGTGAACCAACTTTCTTTTTATTTAGCCAATGCACATCTATATATTTTAATGCAGATTCATTTGTTTAGAGTTAAAAATAATTTTCTAGTAAAATTGTTAACTGCTCTGTGGCAGTCGGTTACAGCAAATCTGCCTTTTAACAGGAAAACAGAATAATAATTACAAGTAATACCTTTGTTCATTTAAAAATTCAAGATGTGAGTATTGTCCCCTATTTATTCACTAAGCATCAAATTATAGTGAATAGAAATACAAATTGCTAAATATAGCCAAGATGGGAATATAGTTGAGTTGGAAAATGTTGCCAGATCAGATATTTTAGTTTCAATATTGAATAAAAAGATAACACTATAACATTATTAAATTAATCTTTCAGTAACTCCTAAATCACACTGTCAGTTGCACTTAATAACACCGATTGTATATCATTAATCGGTCTTTTGTGGATTAGGAATGAATAATTATTGAAGTTATTAATACGCTGTTATTACAATTCATAAAACACCATGTATCGTTAAACAATAACTTGAGCAATTAAATATCAACTAAATGGTGAGTAGTGGTGAGCTGAAAATCGAGTTGCAAAATAAAAGATTTTTCCTAGATTGACTATTTTGAATTACATTTTACTTTTTAAATTTCACTTCACTACAACTCTGTTTAATGAATAAAGTCAATGAAGTTATCTGTCATGACAACATTTGAGTAACGATGGGAGAAAAACACTAAAAGGTTTATTTACTAAATTGTGAATTTTGGTGCCTTACAACATATAACCAACTCAGCGGAATCAGATATATTTGTCACTAGACTAACTAACTTATAAATTTTTCCCATCAAATAAACAGCTCACTGTTTCACAAATAAACCCCTGTATTTGTAGGAATTATAAAAGAAAGGAATGATCTAATTCTGTGGGATTCTACAAAAATATCCAAGCACTTTGTCCCAGGACAGTTCTTGTTTAGCCTTGATACACTTACCCTCAGGCCGGCCATTTAAATATGACAATATTTTCTGTCTGGGGAGAATTCTAGGGTTCCTTACACCAGCGCAGCCTGGTTAGGAATTTACAGTCTGAAGGTGGAAAGGTCACTTGAACTGTATGAGCCAAATTTGTCTGTCAGCAGCTGGGAACATTCTCCTGTTTATGAATGAAGAGATTCAGCAGACAGCTATTCACCGGATATATGAACTCATTACCTGTGCTAATCTTACATAGCAACCAGGGAATCACTCCACCTGGCAACTAGAATGTTAATTACATTCACTGTTCTTTAACTGCAACAATAATTAGTATTTGCTGATTACAATACAAATTTCATTTGATTGCTGGTAACAAAATGGTGACAACTGGCTCAAAGAACATGTGTTGAGTCAATGTTTAATATACTGCTACTGGGCAGTCTTTAGGGAGAAATTACATGTTTTTTGTCAAAGAGTGTACAGTACTGTAGTGAGTTGGTAATAGTTACAAATGTTAGCCTTCATTTAACTTGTAGCACATCTCAATGTTTAATCAATAAACCTGTATGGCATTATTAATTAAATACTGGACTGCAGTGAAATGAAATAGGAATTACAACATTTAAGCCCAAAATTCTCCAACCCAGCTATACTCACAGTTTGCATTTCTGTGAATTAAATGTTTAGCTAATAAACTCTTATGTTTAGTATTTTATTCAATGCCACATTCATACGGAAAAAGATGTAATACTTTAGTTTACTGAGCTATCATGGGGCATTACTGACTAAGAATTAACCTTTGTTTTAGTGGCAATCAACTTGCAAAACAGTCAAATTATGTGAAACAAAGTGAGAAAAGTATGTCAAACGTGGCTGCGATCTATTCTTTATTTCCCAATCCCACAGTTTTGAAAGCTGAATTTCAGTTTAAAGCAGTTTGTTGCATAGTGAATACAAACCCATACTGATCATATTGCTAACGATTGTTTGTTGTAATCCGGGGTATTAGTGAAATGAATTGTTAATACCAACAACCAGTACATGTTTGTGGTGCATCCACAGATACCCACCACCATTTAGTGTTAACCATTTTGCAATTTAGATGCATTTCAATAAAAAAAGCATTTTCCAATTTTTTTCCATAGCTTATCTACAAGTACACTATAAAGGCTCACTCTGCTCCACCAATACATTATAAAGGCTCACTCTGCTCTATAAGTACACTATAAAGGCTCACTCGGCTCTACAAGTACACTATAAAGGCTCACTCTGCTCCAGCAATACACTATAAAGGCTCACTCGGCTCGACAAGTACACTATAAAGGCTCACTGTTGTGGCTCCCGGCCCGCCGCATGGCACAGCCGTGCCCGACTGGCACGGCCTCGCCGATATTGCGAGCTTACCTGCTCGCCGGTGAGCCGGGAACCGCTCCTCCGCGTCTTCTGGGCGTTGCACCCAAATCAAAGATGGCGCTGACCACGTGGTTGCGCACACCACAAGCTCCGCCCCTCAAATTTCTGGGGTCAGAGGTTATCCTCTGACCAATCAGAGACCAGAGAGGGATGTTTAAATCCCTAATTCACTCCAGTTCCTTGCCCTGTCGTGGTTTCCTATTCCTGGTTCCCGAGAGTGCGTTTATCTTTGTGAATATTACTTCCTGGTATCCTGATCTTGACTTTTCCCTGGTTATTCCAAATTCTGGTTCCCCTGACTTGGCTTGTTTCAATGGTATCTGAGAATTTCCCTTTGACCATTCTCTATCTCTAGCGTATTAGTCTGGCCATTCTAAGGTTTACGCTCTGTCCTTTTATTTCCTTTCCTTTTTTATGTATATGTTTACATAGTTTCTGCGTGTTGGACCACACTAGCAGCCGTGACACTCACTCTGCTCCAGCAATACACTATAAAGGCTCACTCGGCTCTATAAGTACACTATAAAGGCTCATTTGGCTCTACAAATACACTAAGAAGGCTCACTCAGCTCTATATGTACACTATAAAGGCTCATTTGTCTCTATAAGTGCACCATGAAGGCTCACTCGTCTCTATAAGTACACTATAAAGGCTCACTCGGCTCTATAAGTGCTATATAAAGGCTCACTCGGCTCTATAAGTACACTATAAAGGCTCACTCGACTCTATAAGTACACTATAAAGGCTCACTCTGCTATATGTGTACACTATAAAAGCTCACTCGGCTCTATAAGTACAATATAAAGGCTCACTCAGCTCATGTGCTCTTCAACTATGATCATCTTAATGCCAGGATGTCGTTAAGTGTTTTTCATACACCTGACTTGACAAATTTCAGAATTATTTATTGAAAACTATGTACACCATCCATATAGGTAGACTTTAGTTTTTAAATGTTCTTAAATATTAGATAAATGCATTTTTTATTATAGGATAATGTAATATAATGACCTGAAGCAGCAGATAGATGGTACATTTTACCATCAAGTGTTATTTTGCATTTAGCAACTCTTATTAACTTCAATGGGAGATATTATAACGTGTTCAACAGCTTCTAATTACCTATGATCAAATATTAAACTTTGTAATATCAGTAGTAATCAATAGAGATAGACATTGCCCACCTGCTCATAAAAGACTGCGACACAACAAGCATGGAATCATGCACACAGTGAGACGAAATGTAATATAGTAGACCAAGCATAATTGCTGTTGACTTTTTTCCAAAGTTAGATTTTACAATTCAAATGTTAATATGTTAAACATTTTTTTTTTTCAGATGGCTTCCAGCAGCTCAGGTAAATCTCATTCTCTGTGATGTCACTTTAAATATATGTATTAAAGTGGTGTAGTGGTTAAAGTGCTTGGAGTAAAACTTTATTACAAATTAATTTTTCAAAAAACAAAATGAATGTCAAAGTAAAAAGAAGGCTTTTCTATGTGTGCAAATATTCCTATATTCATGTTCCATATGCACTGGCACTATACTTGTATTCTAGTCCATTGCTCAAATCCCAAAAGAAGAGACAACAAGAAAAATGATTTTAAAAAAAAAATGTATTTATTTATTATTTATTTCTTAAAGTGTTTCTGTCACATTTGAGATTTTCATAAAGTTTGAATTAGTTTGAAATTGCAGTGCAATCTAAACATACAGATGACACAGATTTGGGGCTACTTTATCTTATCTAAGTGCTGATCTTTGGCATATCCTGCCGTTTCACATCAGCCATCAACAGTTGTCCTCTCTCTTGGGCACCATATGTATTATCTTATTATCAACAATACAATAGCAACAATGGCTCCCGATAGTTGAAGTTGCCAGTAACTGAAGAAGCATGGTGGAAAAATAAGGTAGTGATGCCGAGAAAGTGAAACATAAGGTAAATGTATCTCCTTGACCACTTACTCCCAGCCAAATAAAAGTAGACTTGCCACTTTAAGGGCAAGGTTGCAAAAAGTTTTTACAGTGCTGATTGGATATGCTAAAGCTGTTAATATGTTGTTCTACTCATACAGCACTTTAAAATATTTTTCCCTGGGAGACACTTACAGAAAACAATATTCATTCAAAGTGCATCCATTCCTCATAACAGATGAAACAAAGTATTTCTTCCCTCCCTTGCAGATATTTCAGTATCCATATATGACGTCACATCAAGAAGTGTATATGTCCAGTGGTCAAAAGTTGTTGGAGCCATGTCCTACAAAATCATAGCATCTCCTGTCACGTCTGCAGTCTCATCTACATTTGCAGTGTATAATGCCGCCATTATCATGGGAACCTTAAATAATCTTCTACCAAACAGTAACTATACAGTCACAGTGGAAGCCATGGACAAAGATGGCGTCATTCTTGCTCATGCTCAGACCCTTCAGCTTACAGGTTGGTGAAAAATATTAAGTATTTCTAAATAGACCGGGCTGTAAATTTGTGAACTAAAAAATAAATCTTTAGCTACATGACTGAGTAGAGTACAGTGAGTAACTGTAACTGTTTTTTTTTTCTATACAGCTCCTGAGGTTCCCATCATTGACAAAGCATATTCCAAACTAAGTAATAGTATCACTGTGGAATGGGCTGAGGTAACTGGAGCCTTCAGCTACTTAGTAACAGCCCAAAATGGAGAATTCTTTGCTGAGACCATTGTCACTAGTTCCCCGGGGACTGTTACAGGCCTGCAAGCTGCTACAACCTACAGGATAACTGTGAGATCAATCAACTCTGCTGGAAAAAGTCAACCATCCCCTCCAAGACAAGCAGAAACAGGTATTAACAGATTAAAGGGACACTCCAGACCCTTAAAGAATGTTAGCTTGCTCAAAAGCTTTATGTGTGAAGAGTGTGTCCTGTTTATTTCCTTTTACATAAAGTGCAGATTTCCATAGAATTTTACAAAAATTTTTTTTTTTTTATAAATGAGCCTTGTTACACCACCCTTGCTTTCAATCAGATAACTGCTCCTCTTACTTCCTGGTTTGGTTAACTCAATGGTATTAAACTCAAGAGGCAGCAATTGAAAAGAACATGGCAATATGGGGAGGAAGGAAATGTCATCTGACACGTTATATATATAACTCTAAATGTATGTCCACTGTTACCATATGTAAATGGTTTTGTTTCATTCCTCAGTGCTACCTGGACCTTTGGTGACTGTGATCTCCTCTAGCAGTGATTCACTCACTGTAAGCTGGGAGATGGATTCCTTAGCTGAATCATACTTTGTGTCTGTCATGAGATCTGATGGTCAAGGCATCAGATGGAACCAGAATGTAACTACCACACCCATCACCTTTACCTCCTTGGATCCTGGCACCATTTATACCATCAAAGTCCATGCCTGGAATGTGGATGGAACGCCTGGGGATGACAGCACCAAAAACCAAATTACACGTAAGAATCTATTTAACCAATGTTAACTGTGTTCTCAGATGTTCTAGTAGTGTAACCGACCTCTGTTTTCATACACTGTTCTAATACACTGTCAATAAACTTAAACATCATATTCTGAAACCTAATTTTTTTTAACCTTTTTTATGTCTTGTCCCTTCTATCCATTCCTTGTACGTAGATTTATAAATGTACAATACATTCCTTTTAGGGCCCAGGTGTCCATCAGACCTTCAGATAATATTTAACAGTGGAGAATTAGAAGCCACATTTACAGTAACAGGAGCCGAAGCCACAGTTAACTACACAGTGAGTCTTTCCAGTGAAAATGATAGCATCAACTGCACAACCTCTGTGTCTCCCTGCACTATCTCCTCCCTGCAATGTGGCCTGGAGTATTCTGTGTCTCTGGCAGCAAGCAATGATGCAGGATCCACCATGGCCAATAAGACGTGGACTTTAAATTCTGGTACGTTTCCGGTATGGGAAGTAGTAAGGGGTTAACAAATGGAACTTTTATTTGCGTTTGAAGACTTCATGGATTTAAATAGCTCCACAGACAAGAACAGAACTATTTTGTTGCAAAAAAAATATGCCCAAGAATTTAAAAAAACAGGAACATCTATAAAGATTCTGGATTGGTAAATGTGAAGAATTTGTCCACTTGTCCTGAATCTTTGAATATAACTACCAAGACTATGCGGAGAGTAGTCTGGTCCCATAGACAAAATAAGGCTCTAAGCCAGGGGTCCTCAAACTACGGCCCCCCAGATGTTGCTGAACTACAACTCCCATGATTCTTTAAATTACATAGATAGCTAGATATTCATGGGAGTTGTAGTTCAGCAACATCTGGGGGGCCGGAGTTTGAGGACCCCTGCTCTAAGTCCCTTTTGTATGTAGCCATTATAAACACAATCAAATACACAAGGTTATTAGCTAAATAGGAATTTTTCAGAGTACTTATCTGGGTCTAAAATGTAAAACTTCCAAGATAAGTGAATGGCCCTTAATTGGGTTTATTCATTATATCATTGATTGGGGAGAGACAAAAAGAAATGCAACATTTTGGTCAAAATAACCTAACTAATAGCCACCATATTCTCGCTTCTTACATATAACCCACATTCTACAACAGGAGTAAATAAAGAGCCCAAGAGCAGATTCCTGGTTTTCAGGTCAATATTATGATGACACGTTATATAGGTATCCAAGTGGACAGCAGGAGAGATAAAAGTAGTTGATAATAGAAGGCCTGGGGAGATCTTTATAATGTTCCCATAAATAGAGGGCAGTGCAAAAAAACCCAAAACATATATATCGTAGTATATAAAAGTGTCAATAACCACCAACTTTGCAAACAAAATATTGCTTTAACTTTGGTTTTAATGTGTTATTTTTTAATGAAAATATTTCATATTTCCAGTCCCATGTGCACCCAGTGGAATCAGCATCACGGAGAACAACCCTGGTAACTTAACAGTATCTTGGTCAAATGTTAGCCTGGCTGAGTATTATGTAGTTTTTGTGAAGAGCGATGATGGCTTGGAGGTCCATTGTAATACATCCCAGACAGTCTGCTACTTCCCTGCTGAGTGTGGTTTCATATACATCATGAGTGTCTTTGCTTATAGCAAGGTGGGACAGAGTCCTCTGGGAGAGATTCTCAACTACACAACAGGTATGTTCCATCAGAGTGACTTAAAAATTAAATTTTAGGATGGATTGGGGCTGCCTTACATACCCTCACCAGATCTACAGCCAGATCTACATCATTCATCACTATTCCATAGGAAGGCCTGGGGAGATCAGAAAAAATTATTCTGTAGTAACTTTTGAATTGTACATTTGATAGCAATTTGGCTAGTATTATGTATAGAGTCAACAAAACTATGTATGGAAGGCCCTTAAAAAAACCCACAATAAGTGTGAATATTAAATAAGCTGCTATACTCTCTCTAATGTTATTAAAATACCACAAATAAACCACCTAAAAAAATAGTTTAGCCCTTCAAATAATGTATAGGCTCCACTTTATTTCCTTTGGTGGCATCCTGAAGGTTGCACTTTATCATCTTGTGAAAAATAGAGTTACAAGAATTATTAATCTCTGGGAGATCCCGTTTCTGTCTTTTGTGTTTTTCCAGCTCCCTGCTGCCCCAGTGATTTCAGTCCTGCATACGTGTCCACCGATACATTAGAAATTGTTTGGACTGCTGTCCGTGGTGCTGAAATGTATGAGACTAAAGCAGATGACGGAACCAACTTAATACTGTGCAATGACACAGCCACTGTGTGTGCCCTCTCGGGTCTACAGTGCAACACGCTCTATAATGTCACAGTGTATTCATACAGTGAAACCAGGGGCAGTAATACATCGTGTGCATCCAAAATGATGACAACAGGTATGTAGTCCTAAACCTGCTAGTAATTTGGCATTCACCTCTGTTCTATAAGCTACATTATACTATAAGAAAAGTTCATTTCTTCTGAATAAAAATTACTTATTTAAAGTATCATATCTGAAAGGGGTTGTCATTTCCTAGCATTTTTACTGCAACGTTTACCTGTCTCTTATATTTAAAATGTGTGTGTTTGTGAGGTTTGAAAAATAAAATGAAATGTACAAACCCACGTGGCTCTAATTACCCCTATCCTCGAATTGAGTGCCTTCATCTTGGCTCCATTCATTATATCGTTATACATTCTACCTTTCGGACCTGTCCATCATCAGAGAGAGAACAGGAGAACCAGATGCAATTTGTGCCCTGACTGTGCCAAAATGGAACTAGATTGTGATTTCAATGGATCACATGAAAAAAGATTAGCACAAATTACAAAGATATTTCGAAGACTTATTAAAGGCTGTAAATCAAAGAGAGATGATGGTTGCCCTTTAATGTGTCTGCTTCAATGCACAATGGATGTGTGCATCATGATTTATAGGTGAGATGAAAGATAAATAAAGCATAATACATATAATTCTATGGGTAGCAAAAACAACCAAACTAATACTGCTCCAGACATTTTGTTCAGGGCAGAAGGATACATTTAAAATAGATTAAAGCAGAATGTATCTTTCTTCATAAAACCAACTATCTCCCCTTCCTCCACTCACCCTACTGATCCAGTTGAAGAGATATGCATCTTGTAAAGTTGTGATGGTTTTTTTCTGATAAAGCCAATAATAATGCACTGTTGGTAGATCAATAATACCTTTTGTTTCTTCATTAAACTATTGACCAATCTATAAAAGGTTGTAAATTATACCAATACCTTAATAATAAGCTGTGTTGCAGTTCGGGGTTTGTGCCTTCTTTTCAATGAACAGCAGCAATACATATATGTGAAACGCTGAACTTGATAGACTTGAGTATTTTTTCCTTCAGCCTATATTACAAAGTAACTATGTAAATGACTGTGTAACTTAGTCTTAGAGCAGTGGTCTCTAGTCTCTCTGTTAGGATCACAGGGGATGGAACAGGCTTAATATATTAATGTAGAACAGGGATCCACCCACAGTAAATTGTTTATTACTTTCTCAGGGCATTTAAAACCTAATAAACTATAAAGGTTCTAATGAGATTTCATATGGTTTATATCGGTTTATATTGTGTGAATGGGTGACTGAATAATGGATTGCCAAGTATTGCCATGTACATAATTCATGTTTCAGTCAGATTAATAATCCTTACCTTGGAGTCCAGCCACATGTAAGCTGTTCACCTATATTGTAACAGGTTGATATGAAAGAGGCTGTAACTGAATTAGACTTTTAAATAAAAATGAAAATACATTCTCTCCCAGGCATGGGCAAAAGGCACATCCCCAGATGTTGTAGAACTGCAACTTGATGTTTTGCATTTCTAAAGTTGGCAAATCATTGTGGTAGTTGAAGTTCTACAACATCAGGGGGGTCTCTCTTTTACTTAGCCCTCAACATTTATTTTCTCTTGGTTTTTTTTCTTTTCTTTCCACAACATCTTTTGCAGAACATTAGAATTACACTGAATTAGTTTACCTTGAAATGTAGAGATACATGTAAATTATATTTTGTGACATGTTGGCCTGCCCAAATGTAGCACTCAAGTTGCAAAGATTTCACAATTAAAGATGCCAAATAAAGACTTCTGTAGAAGCACCCCCTATTCTACTATTTCTAACTATGTCCTCATTTAACATTTTGAAATCCATTTTATTTTGTATAACACCTGTGGGCGTTTTTTTAAATGATACATTTTTCCATTAATAAATCTGTTTCTAGCTCCATGTAGCCCAGAAATAACCAGTATCACAAAAATAAATGTGACCATGTTCATGATACATTGGAATTCCAGTAGCAGTGACACAATGTATACTGTAACTGCCAGAGGAGATGCAGAACTCAGGGAATGCACCAGCTCAAAAACATTCTGTGCTCTGGAGAACCTTCCTTGTGGGGAGACATTTATGGTCAGTGCTGTGGCCATTGCACCTTCAGGAACAAGTCTGCCCAGTTACAGTGTGCGTTTGGAAACAGGTAAAATGTTTTTGAATATTCATGTTTATTTTGAGCTTCAGAATCTAATTTACTCAATTGCTAATTGCTAATTTACTCAAATTATGTCAAATAACTGAGAACATTTTTTATAAAGGCAGTATCGAAGAGGTACACTTCATATAACTGTTACCAACAGAGTAAAATGTTCCTCATACCAACAAGAAATAAATTGAACAATGTGATATAATGTCTAACCAACTTTTATTGTAACATCAAGCTGTCATTTGCAATATACAGATTCAAAACACTGCTGAATTACGTGTTACTGTAACACCATCTTGCCTGTCAATAAATAAAGAAATGTATATCAAATTTACTCTAGATTAATAACATTTTTTGACATTAAAGCATCTTTTTTTTCTTAAAGATTCTTTATTTTTCATTTTTCAAAAAAGACAGAAAGGAAAGTTGGTTAATGAGGTAACAACAGTAGGGTATAACATTGAGTTGTTCGCATATATATATCTGGTACATTACTTATAAGTGTCATCTTTGTGTCTATACCATTTTTTGTGGACCGGCATTTGTTGGGGGTCTTGAGGTCTGTATAGTTAAGTTCATTATCTATTTTAGTTCCCTCGGATGGAGAAGGATCTAACTGGGACGCTATGCCAAGGGTTGGGTGGTGAGCCGGGTTTGGTAGCTCTTTAGCTTCAGTCGATGGTATAGTTTGTGAGTTGACCGTACCAGGAGTGTTGGTGAGGGTTGTTTCGTGGGGGGTTGTTCGGCAAGGAGGCTACTGCCTTAGGTAGGGTTATTGGGTGGGGTTGGTTCGGTAGAGCCTGTCATGTAGTTTCGTTTCGTTGGTAGGAGGGGGGTTGGGGGTTAAAGCATCTTTTAAAGACATATTATTATGTGCTTCTCTTATTCCCCAAAGTGGTAGGGTAAGTTTTTCCCATAGTAAATTAAACAAAAAAGATTTAATAAATACTATATTTAGTTAATTATAACTATATACAATATAAGTTTATATATTGTACATAGTAATATAAGAATACACATACAAACATCTAAGTATCATATACAGTATGTCCTATAGGTAAAGGTTCTGTAATGCCACTTACCAATTTTGATATATCTGCATCAATTTAGCCGTTTTAGTGCAGCGTCAGTTTTACAAGGCCGCAGTCACATCATTCTGGCCTCAATCAAACCTTAAATGATGCAAGCTATGACATTTGGGCCTCTTCGTTAATTTTCTGTTGGTGTCTCTCCCGAAGCAGTGTGTTCGTGCAGAAATCTCTAATTGTAAAGCAAGCACCTAGTCATATCTTACTCCATGTCACCTATGGACCAGTGCTTTTTCGTGGCCTCGCAGCCCTTGAGTGCATTGTTCCTGACCTGGCTTGTTCTGATCTTGTATTGCTTTCTGCTCTCCCATGACTAGGCTACGGTTCTGACCCTGTGTTTTGCATTGTCCTAATCATAGTATTTCCATAGTACCAGGCCTGGCTTTAAGCCCAGCTACTGTTAGGTTGGGCAAACTGCCTGTCTATCTTTACTCCTGGTCATTTGATAGGCTGCTGATTTATATATTGCTGAGGATCTGTTGTATACTGAAAAGTTCCTCAAAATAATGTTGGCTGATTAGATTAATGTTAAAAATATAACATATTATAAAGTTATAAAAAAAAAAAAAAACACAAAAAATGTTTCTTACAAATAGTCGAACTCTTGATATGGCAACTCTGATCTGATCCTTACAATAAAGCATCACAAGGAAACTTTACAGAATCATTGAAAAATCTTCCAATAAATATATAAGGGGAGGACACACTTATCTAACACCATAGAATCCATGCAAAAACTTTTTATTTTTTATTATTTAATTATTATTAAATGCTCATGATTTTGATGTCAATGCCTTGATACTACAAATTTAGAATATTTTTTATGCACTGTAGAATGTATCAGTTAAGTAATGCATGCTGTTATCCTTTTTGTCTACTGAGATGTACATGGGGGAAAAAAAATTGTTTTTCAATCCGTTAGTTTTCTGAATTAGTTTAGTACAATATTTGGAAAATATCGATTTATATGCAAGAAAGTCGTCCAGATTTGGGTGCCATTATATCCTATGGGGAATGAATGGAGGTTTTCAGTTACAAAGTACCAATATAGGGTGATTTCTGCTAAAGTGCTGTAAGATCAAAATTAATAAAAGCACGACTCTTAATTTTGATCTTTTAGCTTTTTAGTAGATAGCTCCAGAATTTGCTATCCTCACATGAGATTGTCATATTTAAGGATACCTAATAAGGGAGCGATATATCTGCTAAACAGCTCCCTGATTTGGTATCCCTAAATTTGGGAATCCCACATAAGGGTGCCAATTTAGAGAATTGTATCCTAAACTGCTGAAATACCAACATTAATAGAAGCCCTTGTCGTAACTTTGTTTTTTCAGTTGTTTAATAGATAACTCCCTACTTTGCTATCCTTCTCAAAACAAATGGACCCAAAATGAAATGATTTGATTAATTACGGATACAGTTGCGGTTTCATCTTACCCAGTAATTTACATTATGGAAAGATTATTAATTGTTATGACATAATCTGGTTCATCTGAATTATTTGGTTGTTTTTATTTAAGATCCTTGCTGCCCATCTGACCTTGCAGTGGTCCAAGTCACTCAGTCTGTGACCAACGTCAGCTGGTCCATTGCCCCTGGAGTGCAGACATATACCACTCTACTGGTGTCCCCAAGAGGTCAGGCAAAGTGCCACACTCTTCAAAACCACTGTCTGCTTGGATGTATTACCTGTGGCACCAGCTACTCTGTGTCACTGGAAGCCATAAGTGAAACTGGCCTGACTTCAATGTGCACATATCACGGCTACTCATCAAGTAGGTGAACTGATCAGTGACAACCTTGCTGTGATCTCAATTTAATCTTAAGAGTCAAGCTCTCTTTTTTTAAAGGGATAATTTTGTGTGTTTGAACAGGGCCTCGTTTGTTGCATTAATTTAAAGATAAACTATCCATATTCCACTGGCACTGTGAGAATGACAGTCTCACTCACCAAAACCTGGTTTCTGTCTCTCTATTTTTTCATTCTCTCTCTCTCTTTTTCTCTGTCTCTCCCTTTTGCTGTCTCTCTGTTTTACTGACTCTATCTTTGAACTATCTACACTAAACCCCATATTTCACCAACTAAGGCAAGTAGTAAAACTCAAAGATTAACCAGGACAACTGAATGTTGACCTCCATTGGATCTTTGATTTTGCAGTTGCACACAGTATCAAATTAAGGTAAAATCAGCCACAATGGGTCCTGTTATCCTGCTCATACGCAAGAGAGAATAATGCATTGTGGAGCTTAGCTGTATATAGATTGATATTAGGAAGACTAGGGTGGTTTGGGGAGATGGTTAATTTTACATTTATTTTTCATTTTATTTTTAATGTATCATCATTACTGACTAATTCAGACCAATTCTAAAGAAACTTTGGAACCACTTGAAGAAAATAGACATAAACACATAAAAAATATTGTTAAAGAAAATAATCAGGGGTGTCAGGGATCAAGGACATTTTGAGTATTAGCAGAAGGAAATCCCACAGTAGACTTTTGGTGTAGGATGTGATCTGGCAGGCTACAGGGATATCTCTGAGAAAAATAGCCATAAAAAAAAAAACACCAACCCCACTTGGAGAATCCATCATGAGACACCTGTCAGCAGGTGACCAATCTCAGCACAGATAGATGAGCGAGGAGATATTATTCCAGGATTAAGAAATGCAAACTTTAGCAGCCAATAATAGCACATAGAATATTATCATTATTATCATATTATTATGGAATATTATCATCTTTTAATATAGCATAATTTAACTAATATTTACAGATATACGCTTGAAATGTTCAACTCAAGTTGTCTGCAAGTATGTATTTCATCTGTTTATGATATATAACTGAAGGTGAATAATTACATCCTACATTACCTAATGACATAATTTCCTATATCCACAAGGTCCCTGTTGTCCATCTGGAGTGAAGTTGTACAGATTGTCAAACAGTAGTATCCGGGTCACCTGGCGGGCGTCATCCGGATCTGCCAACTACACTGTGAACCTGTATGGATCAAAAGGAAACTTCACGTGTAGCCCAAACACCAGCATCAGCTACTGTGACATCTCTGACATACAGTGTGGAGATGTTTACACTGTGGTTGTTTCTCCTGTCATTCTGGAAGAACCACAAGTCTCATTCTGTCCTCAAAAAATATATTCCGGTAGGAGGTTTTTGGTATTGAAGAGAAGTCTCTTCACTTTCACTAATTCTACAATATTATTTTTATTCTGTCTGTTATTCTGTCTGTCTGTCTGTCTGCCTGTCTGTCGATCTAGATAGACCAAACTCAAACAAACATGCAGAAATAAAAGGTAGAGGAAAGATACAGAGCGTATTACTGATCATGAGGGTTGACTAGGTTTAACAGAAGTATGATAAACAGAAAGCCAAAGGGATCTAAGAGAACATCCAAGAAACAATCCAGAGGTCAGGAATACAGAGGTTTACAGAATTAATAAACTAGGCAAGGTCTGGGAGAACAGAAGTAGTTACAGTCAGGACAAGCCAGGCTCAGGATATCAAGATATGCAAATGGACAATAACTTGCTATTGCCAGAAGGAAACATGGACAGAGCAAAGCTAAGAAAAACCCTATTGGTCAGCATCATAATAATCAGAATGTGCGTGTATATACGGCATCACAAGTATGATGTGAGAGCACTTGCATCAAAGTTGTTGCAAGTAATAGAAAGTTGTTAATAGAGGCACCATAGAATGATGCAGAGGAATAGCATCCAGCATTCAAAATGATGCCAGGACAGGAATGCTGACTTTAGAGAGGTGGATTGGACCCAAGTTACATGTCACTATCTGTCCTTTGTGTGGCTGGCTGTAAGCCATTGACTGCTGCCTAATATATTAATCCCCATATTGCGATGCAGGGATTCTGTGTTAGAATCCCTTGCAACTGATGAAGGAACAGGAAAATGGCCTTTGTGTTAGCATACTGTAAACATAAATGGAAGCTTTTCACAATTCAGTTTCTTACTTTACACAGTAGTTCCCCCAATTTTTAATGCATTCTATAGACAGTTTATTGACAAGTTCGCAGATAAAAATGAAGAACTGTAAGAAACAGCCTAGAAGAAGAGATAAGGATTGTGTGGCTTGTGAATTCCCAATATAGCTTCTCTCGTGATGAAATTCAACAGGGGAGCGGTATCTGGAAATGCTACTTGGAGTTTTTCTTTAATAAAAAGAAAAAAACCCCTTTCCTACTCTTCCAAGGTAGATAAAATGAGTACCATTAAATTGGGTAATAGTAACAACCCCTGGATGTTGGGCTAAGGTAACATCCCCAGGATGTACTTAAAAACCAGAGTAATATGAATGTGCCTTTCCTGGTTAAATACTTTGTTATTATTATATACTGCATCAGGTCATCACTATTATGTGTGATTCAAAAAATAAATAAATTGTAATGTAATTGTCCCAATCTATCTCTTTACAGTGAGATGCTCAGGAAGCTCGCTTGGAATGGGTAAGGAAATCACCGCTTGCTTCGTAGGTTTTCACTACTAACCTTTAGAACACTGAACATTATATATTGAACACTGTTTGATATTACTTGGAGTTTATTGACTAACCCTGTGAGTAGGGAGGATCCATACAAAGTTCTAAACAAGTGCAACTATCAAATAGCTAATGATAGCACTGTATGCAAATATTCACGGGGAACATATCGAAACGCTGATAAATTCGATTCTCTGTCACAGCCTTCATTTGTTAATCTTTTTTTTTTTTTTACATGTCAGTTATTTACAGGGGTAAAAGAAGTGTCTCATAGAATTACATGCATAACAATGGTAAGGTCATAAAGATACTCAGATTTTATGGAAATATTGCCTGAAGCTATATATCTGTGTGATACTCATTTGATCCTTGTTTCTTTTGTATTTCCTTGTGATGTTAACATGCTATACTATTTACAGTTGTTTTAGTGAATATGTAGTCCATGTTGATTAACTTTTTCAGCCCGATTTGCATCTTGCAAAATACTCGTACCACCCAAAGTTGAATACATTCTTTTTAGGTAAAATAAAAATGGTATTTACAACTAGTCAGTTTTCTTCCCCATAGTGTCTGTCCTCATTTATTTATGCAAAAGACACAAATTACTTGCAAAAGGCACAGAAGCAACCATGGATTTTTATTTTTTTCTCAACAGCAAAAAGTGAGCAAAATTAGCATAAAGCCTACACACTATCTCCACCATCCTACAACTTTGAGCTACAGAAAAATACAATTACTGTATGTTTTCATTATGGTTTTATCCATCAATGCCAAGCAGACACCATCATCAGCATTGTGATAACATAAATATGCGCTGTGTGCCTGAGCTAAAATTCATAACAAGCTGATATTTGTCCTAAATTCCAATGATGAGCAAAACACATGCTTTTATCTAGCAAAAGTCATGGACATTGTAAGCAATAACCTCTTAAAGTGTTCAAAGTAAAAACCTGTGGATTTCTGATGTTTTTCTTGTAATAGGCACTCTCACAGACATTTTTATTTCATAACAAATGACATGTAATTTGCATGAGTAAAGTCAGTCACATATAATGATGATATAATGTAAATCGGACTGTAGGTACTTTAGATAGGGATAAGTTCATTTTAGGAAAAAACTGAAAAATCGGCATGCTAGCTAGTTGAACAGAGGACAGTACTTCACTCAATCTTACAATGGATTGTCTTAGTTGTGAACCTATTGCCTGGATTTAAAAACATGTTAATGACAATACCGTGTGTACATCATTCATTCACCTTGAGTTACATAGTAGCTTATTATGAGCTTATTATGAGTATATAAACACGAGGAGAGCCTTAGCACCATCCATCCATCTATCCAGTACAGTCAGTTGATTATTTATACAGTATTAGACAATACCTAGTATCTGATCCAGTTGCTATAGTCTCTTGTTACTTTTCATGCAGCTTTTGCAATAGAAAGCATTCATTTTTTGTCATTGCTTATGCAGAATCATTATGAAAACTGAAGACCGGACTGAATAAACCGCTCAAAAAAGTGACCACGTCTTGTCAACTTTGATCTTTTACCATCCATATAAACAAATAATGCAGAGCCTGTATGATTGACCCGTACATGGAATGTAATTGTGATATGTTCCTGCTACAAATCCCTACTGCTAGGTTTATGATTTGAGGAAAAATATTAAGTTATATTAAAATACTCTTAAGGTTTGAAAATATTTTGGCAGCATTACATTTTTAACTAGTGAAAGAATATATTATGTATTATCATATATTCTCATTGTCCTGACAAGCCATAAATTATGCTGGAAAAACAAGTAACAGATTGCAATTAGAGCATCACACCATGGTAATTAATATGAAAAGACTTCCAGTCCTAAATGTTAATTTTTTTCAACTTATCCTCATGTCCTCGTAATGTCTACAATGATGGCATTGCTCCTTTCTAGTGTAATCTTGGCCCCAGCATGAGGGCAGTATAATATGAAATGTAGACCAACCATAGACATGTAAAGCCCAACTTTAGCCTTTGGTTGGTCTTCACATAAAAGTAGTCAATATTAAAAGGAAATGTTATAACAATCTTTTTTAAACCACTTGTTGATTGTACTTGCCTTGGAACACTTTATACAACTGGCTCTGAATGACAATGTGGTCACTATTAAACAGCATTTATGCACCCACAATATGTCTGTGTGTCTTATATGCATGTTATGTATTGACATAAAAAAATGAACATAAAAACTTTAATACCAGGTCAACATTATTTGACATTTAAAGGTATTCTAGAAGATGATTTTCTGACCGATGCGACCCATGTGATAAGTTGCCTGTATGTAACCCTCAAATGGCTAATTATGACGTAACTACCTGCCAGAGAAAGTCACATGTCCTATTATATTATTATATACATAATTAATGCTCAGCCAGTCATTCAATCATGTATTGTATGACTACCTCATCTGGTTTTTCAGAGCTGGGTGATATTTAGTCACATTCCATATGAGATTGAGTGGATATCATTTGGCCAAGTCAAGCTCAAAAACAGGTGGCATAATATTAAATTAACAATTTCCTTTACACCGTTATGTTTTACCTTTTTTCGTTGTGGTTTGTATTCTGTTGCATACACATTTTTACATTAAAACATGACAACTATGCAATGTTTTCTGGTTGTTTCTGTGTATAAATATCAAAATTCTAAAACATTTCTATCTTGGTAATTAGAGGAAAAAGAAAACAAATGAATTGCTTAGAATTTGTTGCAGATTTGACAGCTGCTACACTTATATTCTTTAGTTATTTGCACTTGAAAATTGCATGTAATTTAGAAATAGTAGAATTCTTCAGTTTGTAGAAATAAATATTCGTATTTGCATATTGTGGTCTTTATGTGTTGATCTTGTAACGTCGTGAAGTACTCTACCCATTGGTGGAACTACAATAGTTGCAGTGGTCACAGCTGCGACCGGGTCCATCACTTCAAGGGGCCCAACTGGCCTGTCAAACACTGCTGAATTACCCCCTATTAGCACCTACCACAATATTCTTCTTATTACTTACCAAGCTGTCTTTATATACACCTTTGTATTGAAGATGTGGTGTCTGTAACAGTTACAGTTATGGATAAAATAATTGCTTATCTTGCAGAGTCTACATATTATTTTAAGGATAAAGGCTAAGTTTGCAACCCATCTACGCAATTGCTTCTTATTAGAAACTTGGCATCAAATAGGGACGCTATTAATCTTCTTACATACAAAGTTGTATAATTGAAATAAAATGTATCACAACAAACCACGATTTGCTCACTGATGCTCACCTAGCTGAGAGACATATTTTTCATACAGATCTCTAATCAGTACCTCTTATGCCCACAGAGGGCCTTTACATCCTATCTCTCTGCCTGCGCTGTACGTGTCATTCTTCGCAGAGTTCCTGGGCACTACCCAGAAACAAAAGCGTAGTTAGATAGAGCTCTGAGTGCACTTTAGGGCTGTTCTGATGGTTACAATAGTGATGTTCTTTGATAGATACCTGGTTTTAGACAGATAATTTAACTTACTGAGCATGAACAATTTGCCCATATATATTTTTTAAGTTACCAAAACAGTATTTTGGATATTATAATAACCTTTCAAAACACACTGAACTATTGTAAGCTGATTTATATGATATAGTACCTAATATTCTCAACAACTCTTACACTTATTTTTATTTTATTATTTATATAGCGCCATCAGATTCCGTAGCGCTATACAAACTAACAGACTAATGTGATAGCAATACATTCTATAATTAAAATAAAAGAGTGCTTTTAAGAGGCTCTCCCTAGATTCGGTCCAGCAAGCATCAATGCCAAACTAACGTCACTAGGAGACACACAAGAATGGTATGGGCATTTTAAAACGGTACAGATCATAGGATGTAAAGGGAAAAATGCTATCCCACATCAAAAGAGCAACATGATTCTTTTATGGTTTTGTTTTGTGTTTTGTTTCAGCCATAAATTTTCTTTCATATGCCCTCCTATTCTAAGACAATAGCTTTTAAACCTTACATTGGGTAGGAATTTACCAGTGAACTCCCAGTATTATAAACAAGTAAACATGTTACTCCATAGTAATTTGATAGTATTTATCTAAGGCCAAAATTCAAAGAAGTACCCCATGAGGTTCTGTTGACTGAGTAGTTGAAATTCGAGTCATTCTTGAAAATGCCAAGAATGTTATTATCTGTATAAAAAACATTACCTTATGGAAGACCATAAACAATATATAGCCCTTCGTATAAACATGTATGCAAAGTTCTGTGTATGTGATTAGCATTGTGAATGTAAGTAGTTTGTGTGTACTGTGCTAATGTAGTGTGTGAATGAAGGGCTGTATTTGTGTGGAGGGTCAGTGGGTGTGTGTGTCTGCAAATGCAGGGGTGTCTGTACACTAATATTCTCAATCTCTCTCTCTCCTCTGGCATATTTCCATCGCCCTTCAAACATGCAACTATAACCCCAATCCTAAAGAAGCCCAACCTTGACCCTAACTCCCCATCCAACTACCGACATATCTCGCTACTGCCTTTTGCATCCAAGATCCTTGAAAGAGTTGTGTATGCGAGATGGACAGACTTCCTCCAGTCTGGTTTCCGCGCTAAGCACTGACCAAAAGTATCCAATGATCTACTTGCTGCAAAATCTCGTGGTCACTACTCTATCCTAATTCTCCTTGACCTTTCTGTGGCTTTTGACACTGTTGATCATCAACAGCTTCTCATCCTCCGCAATATCGCTCTACAAGATGTTGCTCTCTCCTGGTGCTCCTCCTACTTCTCCCAGCGCTCTTTCAGTGTTTCTTTCTCTGACTCTGTTTCAAACAGCCAATCACATCGCTAGAAAGAACAACCATCCCACCCTTCATTTAGATGACGAGAACCAGAAGTGATGTCTTATTAATACCAGAGGTCTCTATACTAATGCCGAAAAACGGAAATGACGCTTTCAGATGACGCAAAACGGAAATTACGTATCGGCTGAATACCGGAAGTCACGTGACCGGATATAAACATCCGGATAGCACGGCCATTATAAGAAGGTCGATTCTTATAGATTATATGGGAAAAGGACTCAATATCGGGAGGGAAGGAAAACCGGAACTCCCATATATGGTATTGGGGGGTGGGTTTTTGTATTTTCACACGTGTTTGGAATTTTTTAATTTTGTATTAGATATATAAGCAAGCTACTGATACATATCATTATTGCACCCGAGGAAGACCAAGAGAGTGGTCGAA